CTCTAGTTGTTTTAATACATCATTAAGCTAGAGCAAAAGCATCACCTTTCATATACGTTATCATATATAGCATCCGTGTTTCTGGTGAAATGAATGTGTGCAACATTTTAAAATTGTACGCATAAGATTTTATTGTTAAAAACATTTTAATTATCTTTATTAAGTACAGTAATATTATGTTAATATTTTTTTCGATTTTAAAATAAATAAATTTTATCAACATCATTTATGTAGTGTGTGCAGATCTTTTTATTAATTTGTGATGAGCAAGGGAAGACTATACACTGAAAATCGTGAAAACCATACATACCATAAACCTCCGAATATAAGCCCCCCCCCCCGTGTACAAGCCCCCCTTGTGTAAGCCCATCAAAAATCGCTTACGAAAGAATATAAGCCCAGTGCTTTTAGGTGGAGGTTTACGGTAGATTGTCATGGGATATACTTATGGTATAATCAAGTGATATATATACATGGTATAATAGTGACGAAAACACATGCAGTACAGGAGGAAAACATGGGTAGGGCCAGGACTGTACCACTACAAGTTCCCCAGCTCTATCCTTACATATAAAAGAAATATCAGTATTACACCAGACACCAATAAACAATTTTGCAGCTTCTGCTAAACATTTTCTTTCAATGTTTTTTAACCCATTGAGTATTGAGTGTCAGCACTCTCCCCCTGATGAGTAAATAGTCTAGTGTTAGACAGTAAAATAATCTGGCATTAGGCAGAGTAAAATAATAGACGCCTGGTTGATCATTTGAGCATAGATAACTGGTTGATCAGTATAAATCCTTGCAATGCATCACACATTGCGATAGTGTTGAATTTACTCCATTTCATTCTTTACAACAATGCTACCACTGGGCGCTTCTTCCATCATTCAGTGTGTATGAATGTCTGTCAGGGCAAACAGGATTTATTGATAAATTAAAACAGTTACAATCAGTTGGCTGTTGTAATTCTATTGGTGGAAGTACACTATCCAGCTCATCATCTCGACTATCTGGGTCACATGGTGGGATTGCTTGGGATGTTGGTGATGTTGAAATGTCAAACTCCCAACAACATAACATTGTTATATTCTTTGTTTATACCTCCTTCCCGTAGATCATTAGGGTCGAAGAACTACATAATATGAAATAAAAATACGTTTAATACTGCTGTATTTATTTATATTACAACATAGGAGCATTTTTATATTTCTATTTTTATATAAAAATCATCTCACCTTAAAAACACAACTAGAGTGAATTTGTACCAGTGCAGGACTACCGCAATCAGCGAACAATTTCATCAATTTTTATCCCGTTAACCACAGCTGGACAAAGGACTATTCTTCCAACTATCCGTAAAACTATAAACATGAACCTCACGACATTCAAGTTCATCACACGGTAATTCTTCCGGAATCAAGATTAAAGGCTGTTTTGACACACAGTGAACACACAGAAGCTCGTGTCCACCCAAAAACGAAGCTTTCTTTCCATGCGTAGTGCAAAAATCAACCATTTTACAATTTATTTTCGATAAATCTTTTCTGAATCTCTTAAAACCTCGAGGTGTAAACACAGCGAAAGCCGACCGAACAATGACGGCGCAGAGCGAGAAATCGATAATATGTAAAAAACCGCGCCTGACCGCGTTGCATGCCGGTATAGTCCTCACTCCTCCTCTGTTAGTGAGCATTGTATGGCGACCACGCCCAATGAGTCAATGACCATGCCCATTTTGCTGGCTCAATAGACCCATTGCACTGATGTCACAAATCCTTAGAGTGTCCTCCAGATGCTCCCTAACAATATCTGTTCGGGTGCAAAAATTAACCATTTTTATTAATACAAAATTATTATAAACTTTTACAAAATTTGCTTTGTTTACAAAATTTATATTATGCATAGATTGCTAATTTGTCCTCCAGATGCATCGTCACCGCGGGCTCTGTGACGTCATGTGCATTGGGTCTATAGCATCCCCCCCACTTGTACGTTGTATAATTTGCAAAACATCACTTTTTCCCTATGCCACTGATGCAAACATTATGAGTGGATGCAAGAGCCATCTACTTATTAAATACAAATCTTTCAGCATGATTTGTATATTGTATAAAGCATTTTCATTATAAATTCTGCAATTTGATTATCTAGGTAAACGTTGGCTGTGTTCCAAAAAAGGTTTGTATATTTACAGTAAATTGCGCGTTGTAATACAGGGTGTATCAGAAAAAAGTGCACAGTTGGAAAAAATTCACCATAAAAGCCAGATGCGCGCGACATTTGCGAAAGCGTTCAGTAAGCTTATGAGTTGCGTACTTTAACGTTCTCTGGTACATCTAGCACTAAAATCATTTCAGTAAAATGCTAGCGTTTTTAGAGTAAGAAAGCTGTTACCAAAAACCCCCCAAAAAAGGCCTTATGCAAAAACATTTTCCATCGGAAACAAAATTTAATCATACAGAGTCAAAATATGGACTGTCTTGCCCAAGCTATCAAAGTTTCAAGAAATTTGGTGCACGTGTAGGCCAACGCGAGATCTTCAAAACCTGGATTTTCTCCCATTTTGTTAGTTCAAACGCGATTTCTTTGCATGATTTCAAATTAATTTTACCATTTTTATGCATGCTCGGACGTTTGCATAAATTACAGTACGAAATTCGCAAGCCGATACACAATTCCCATTATAGACTAATTTTTTTATCTTGGCAAAAAAGCCTTATATTTCCGGAAAGAGCATACTAAAATAAGTAAAATTGCAAAAATTTAGTTTGGTTGCGAAAATTATTTAATGTTGTAAAATGCGGAAAATATACTTTTCGCGTGATGGGCTTATTTTACTTTCTTAATCCGTGAACGTGAAGGAATTTTTTCAATTTTTCGTGACTCGTGAAAAGGCAAAATATTTTTACGTGAAAGCATATTGTGAAGAGGTATAGGGGGCCCTCAATATAGCCTTGCAAAGTTCGCAAATTTTGTATACTTTTGTATTGCGTGCGGAAATTGCTACCACATACATAGCCTGAATACAGACCTTCGTTTTGCTCGCCCTAAAATTCGCGGGTGGGAGCCGCGAATTTTAGGGCGGGCGAAACGTAGGTCTGTTTTCAGGCTACCACATACAATTTTGGCCTACGCGTGCACCAAATTTCTTGAAACTTTGATAGCTTGTGCAAGACAGTCCATATTTTGACCCTGTGTGATTAAATTTTGTTTCTGATGGAAAAAATTTTGCGCAAGTACCGGGTGTCCCAAAAAAAAGTACTCCTGTTTGATTCGTAATAACTTCTAAACAAGTACAGATTTTAAAGAGAAATAACTTGCATTAAATAGAGGAAGGACTAACTTAGATTTTGATATATTACAGTTGTATTTTACTTAAAAATTCACAGAGATATTAATGTTCAAAATCGGAAGCATATTTTGGGATGTGTCTAAAATTAGCGAAAATCGGCATATCAAATATTAACTCCAGCGTTTGTTTGCTTAATGACATATCAGGCTAACTTGTATTTCAGCGAATTATCGTTAGGGTTTGTAAGGGATATGGCGTAGATTTAGACATCTTACATGTAAGTCTTAGCTCATAGTTTCTTGAAATATGAACGTTCGAAATTATGCAAGTATTTAATATTAGGTCTTTACAAATTTAAAAGTACATGAAAGATTGACCATGCATGGAAGGCAGGCGCTTAAATTTTTCTTAAATAGTCTATTTTTTTATGTTTTTAATGGGTTCAAGCTGACTGAGTTGATTATTTCTCGGTTAGAGCAGGATGAATATTATTCTTTATTGAAGGGAATAATATTGCTTTTTGCAAATACACATTACCGTATCAACGCTACTATTTTGTTACGTTTTGTTCCAAAAATGTTGCATGTTTCTGGGGAGTTGCTTAATTTTTATGTCTTATGGAGTTATATGGTTTGATTGTGTTTCATATAATTCTCAGTTTACTCTGAACTTGCCAAGATTAAGAAATTAGGCAAAAGAGTTTGGGTGTTCTTAACAAGATTTCAAAACGTTGCAGAAGTTAGAAGAGCTTCACAATTCCATTGTGACAGCATGCCCTAATTCAGAACTACGAACGATCCATGACGATCCTTCGCGATGCAGTGGTCTCATGAAATAAGGAAACGTATTCGTTTCTAGGAACACACGCGAATTTCGGACGAATAAATCTTGCTTGTATTTTGTAGATATAATAATACTTTGTTTCATAATAAACAATTTGTAAAGTGTCATTTATTTACTGGTAATAGTGCATGTTTCAGTCGAGCAAATCATGATTAATATTTGATACGCCGTTTTTTGCATATTTCAGACACATCCAGAAATATGCTCCCGATTTTAAAGATTAATATCTCCGTGAATTTTTAAGTGAAATACAACTGTAATATATCAAAATCTAAGTTAGTCCTTCCTCTATTTAATGCAAGTTCTCTTTAAAAGCTGTACTTGTTTAGAAGTTATTACGAATCAAACAGGAGTACTTTTTTTGGGGACACCCGGTATACATAGGCAGATAGGCTTACTGAAAGTTTTCGCATATGTCGCGCATATCTGACTTTAGTGAACTTTTTCCAACTGTGTAGTTTTTTTTCTGATACACCCTGTATAATATTATTATCTTTTATTAAAATGCATGAAAAAGTATATGTAGAATGCACATGCATAATTAATACATAGCAACATAATATATGATTGGTATAGTATTGCCTTTAAGCTTGTAATTCATTGTAGGTTATGTGGAATGCTGCATCGATGGCTGAAACAATCAAATATGGCTATCTCAAAGATTATGGTTTAAATGTTCTTTCACATGATGTCAAAGTTGCATGGGGGTACAGCTTATCCTTTCTTTAAAATTTTGATATGGGACATATAGTCTTGCATATTTGGGCGTGAGCTGAAACAGCTAACAATTAATGAAAGTAACTTTCTTTCTGTGTAGTGAGCTAAAGAGAAAACGAGATGCATATATAAAGAGACTCAATGGAATCTATGCAAAAAACTTGGAAAAGGTAGAGATCCTCAAAACCTGATTTGGGTACACCTCTCTACACACTACAGATGTGATGACACAAATGCTTTTTATTCAAATTCTTGCTTAACCTCTTTAACGAATACAATGCAAGAAGAAATGAATAAAATTATGAATTGGCTTAATGCTAATAAATTATCAATTAACGCTTCTAAAACGAAATTAATTCTTTTCAAATCAAAAAATAAAAAATTGGAATCTCGTAATATTACAATAAAAATAAGAAATGAATTGATCCAAAAGGTCTCTTATACAAAATTTTTGGGTGTACTAATTGATGAAAATTTAACGTGGAAAAATCATATTGATTCTATATGTAAAACTATTGTCAAGTTTACTGGACTAATTTCAACTGTTGCAACTGTACTAATGATTTACCCGACATTTTTAATGGATACTTCATAAAAAATTCAAACATTCATGAACATTGCACGCGAAATTCAAACAAATTGCATAAAGTTTATACAAGAACAAACTATAGAAAACAATCTGTTGTTAGTAAAGGTATTGGCATTTGGAATAATTTAAGTACTGAGTTAAAAAATGTTGGATCTTATATGGTTTTCAAAAAAAATGTGAAAACATACTTTATATCACACCAATCAGCTAATTAATCATCCTATTTTAATGTATAAAGTTTAAAAAATCTGAAAAATCTTGTAAATAGACTAACTTTCCTTTAAACACTCTCACAATTGTATATATTTTCGTTATTATATTATGTACTATTTTTATGACATCATGAAATTATACTAAGTAAAAAAAGTTTGGTTATAACTAGGGGTCTTAAAATAAAAGCCCAAAAGGGTTTCTAAAAGATCTCTATAGCCCTACGTATAGATTATAAAAATGTAAATAGTTACATTTTATTGTACTTTGGAAAATTGGGCGAAATAATTAATAATAATTGTTATTATTATATTAATGTAATAGTTAAGAGTGCATTAAAGTGAGCGGGGGAAGACACACCCACCTGTCCCCCTCCAGGATTTACACCCTTGGCACACCTAATATCATCAATGCAAGTTAGTACATTACCATGTCAATACACCCCCTTGCAAAGTACATCACTTTGGTTATGGATCGAGCAGTGATTAAGGTCAAGTTTTGCAGTGATTAATCTTAGTCAAGTTGACTTGAGCTGTTACCTATAATGTTACTAGTTATGTTTCTATCAACATTTATGTACTATTAAATTTATTTTTAGCCTCTAAAAATTACTATTTAGGTTTGCAGACGGTGTATTCCAGTATCTTCCAAAAGGGAAAACAGCATGACATGCTTGTTATTTCTTTTTGAGGGATGTAGGTTTCGGTGGGAAATATTTTCTGCAATAGGCTGTGTATTTTGAGCATTTGAGTGTATGATATACTAAGGACATACGAGTCTGTCATGAAAACAGCAAGCATTGAAAAAACTTAAACTCAGTTACATACTAGGAAAAATAATTTCTAAGTAAAGATAAAATCTTTACACAGAATGACTAACAGTAGACGTACGAAATGTTATGAAATTGAACTGAATAGAAAAATGAAAAATACTGTGATTTAATAATTTAATGGTGAAAAATTCTCTGAGCCCAAGATCTTTCAAAGAAGTTAATTTGCAGAAGACGGGCGGAGGTTTTGTTGTACTAAAGAACGAAGTGATTCCATTGTTCTGAAATTTTCCCGCCGACGTTTTTGACGTCACCAATACCAACCGTGCCCGGTTTGGACACACTCAGAGCATCCGATCGCGATCCCAAATATATCTTTACCCATAATTCACTCAATTGCGTACCCACAAGCATTTTAAAGGGTTTTTTGCCGGAGAAGATATGTTGTAATTCTTGTTTAAATTATCCAAATTGTCAAAAGTGCATGCCACATGGGTACTGTTTAAAGTGCTGCTTCGGTTAAAGGACGCTGGTCCTTATTGAAAGCAGAACCTACTTGTGGTCCCAAGAACAGCTTGCAAGACTTTTGGACACTGGACTTTCTTCAAAGCTGCGGGACCTATTGTTTGGAACAGTTTACCTATAAATATAAGAGAAATAGAGAATGTTCTAATGTGAGAAGAAACATTTGAAGACTTATTTGTTTAAGAAAGCCTTTGACATACCTGTGTAGTTGTTAATAGTTTTATGATACATTTTTTACTTTCCTGTAATAGATACGATATTGTCATTTTATAATGTTATTATTGTAAATTGCGCTGCCTTTAGAATATTTATAGTTTTAGCGCATTATAAATATTTTAAAATTAAATTTGTAAAATCCTGAGGAAGAAATAGGCATTATAATATTATAATTATTTGTTGCAGGCTGAAGTTGAGGTAATTCGAGGTGATGCATCGTTTACTGCGGAAGGGAACGTGATTGTTGACAAGAAGCATGTGTATAAAGCCAAGCATATCCTTATTGCTACAGGAGGACGTCCTACTGTCCCCGCTTTTCCAGGTACCGTATAATATTAGGCTGATGAGCTGATCTGTATATGGCATTGTATAAATATGTCAAATATCAGGATAGTCAATACAGCCTTTCGGAAAGTGCTCAGTCTAGCTTGGCCAGAGTTTTTGTGACAGAAAACTGTGTTTATAGGTAACACATTAGCGAAATCATGCAGTTATTATAATTTATAAAAGACCGGCAATTTTATTATGCGGCATGTCATCAGTAACAAGATAAAGGGCAGGATCGAGTCATCCCAAGAAAAATTTAGAACTGTCCATGCATTTCAACAAGGAGAACAGGTTATGAGGCAGTTGTGATGATTTTAGGGTTTGTAATCCAAGTGAGGCATGACGTGTTACATGTCTGAATATAGCTGTGGGGCTCCGGAAGCACACTCTCCCGGAACCTTTTGAATTTTACTGGTCCAAAATGGTCATTTCCTGCATTTTCAAATTTGGTTTTGTTTTGGCCTTAAATCTCTGTATGAATGCTTAATTTATATCTAGTATGTAATTCTCGAATAAACTGCTCCAAAATTCACATAAAGCTTTGACTTTAAAGTCGGTGTCTCAATCACAGAACGAAGATCTATAGCCACGACTAAGTACATTCCGAAAGGATGTTTAGGAGCAACGAAGGAGAACTGTGCTTTCAGGGACATTTTAAAAGGAGCGATACCGCTCAAGACCATATACCTATTACCTACACATAACTTCCTTAAAATATATGTGTTATGGAATGAAACTCATTACGTCTAGGTTGCGAACATTGTATCACCAGTGACGGATTTTTTGAACTCGAAGAACTTCCAAGGTAATTTCAAATTTTTACGACTTTAACATAAACTTTTGGCAGAGTATCTTCAACGAAGATAACTGCCAAAATGTTAGGTCATGGGCATGAATTTAGTTTGTTCATCCACATGTATTCCAATCTTTTTGGTTGACTGCAGATTTCAAATGCTCAATCACTCCGTAAGAAACTTGTATTGCACGCCTGATGGGAGGTTATCGCTCCTCCCCATACAGTACCCATGCACCCTGATTGCCTTAGTTCTCGAAAAAAAAATGCTAGAAAGTGCTCCATACCATGTAGATATAGAGCAAATAGTATAGGTTTGCTTACAACACTACAGCCTATTTCATCCAGTGAAACAGTGGCGGACACTACCCCCCTCCCCCAATAAAGTTTGCCAGGAATGACAATTAATGATTGACAACCTGGGGTCAAGCAATCTTTAATTTATAAATGCTAAAGCCGTTAAACTGGGTTATACCAATAAACGGACATTTTTAGTATGCTTGAAAAAACACTATCCATGCAGTGGATAGTGTGCGTGGATAGTGTATCCAGCCTTTGTACAACCATTTAACCAATCTTATTAGACTTACTAATTTATACGTTATATCCTAAATATAAAAACATGTTACTTGACAGAAAAATAATAGTGGCTGGTGCTGGTTATATTGCTGTGGAACTTGCTGGTGTGCTGCAGGAACTGGGCTCTGATGTCACTCTTTTAATACGAAGAGATAAAGTAATTGAAATATTATTTGTTATTTCTGTTTTGTTTTTCGTAAATTCCTGTAACTCCACGCAGGCTAGAAATTACAGAGATACAAATTACAGGCCTAGGGCGAGTGTCTAAATAAATAATAATATTAATAATAAGTAGTTCAATCAGTTCATCTCTTCTCTACTATCCTTCTCTCATGACGCTTCTCCCTCTTCTCCATGTTGTTATTGCGTTTGCATATCATCCTCTGCCACGCCGGCCGTTCTGCTACAATGTTTCTCCACGAATGGAGTACACCCCACCCTTCAACTTGTCTTTCAAGGTGTATTTAAATCTCAGGAAAGAACGACCGACTCTTCTAGAGCCATCTGCCAATTCTCCATACAGGAGAGCCTACGTCGGCCGCTCGTCTGGCATGCGAGCAACATGACCCATCCAACACAGTCTGTTCCTGATGAGGATGATCTCAATGTCTGTGGCGGTAGCGCTCGATCCAGAACTTCATCATTCAAGAAGTCCAAGGAACAGCGCTCCCTTTGGTTTAAGATCGCTCTGCGTTAGATCGACTCCGGAAAGTGTGCTGAGTATGTACGGCCCTCAGACTACTTTAACTAATAGTGTCAACGGAAAATTCCGAATTGGGAATTTTTTCCCGTCTTCCTTTCTATACTCCCAATGACGGGAGAACGGGCCATTAACTGGTCTTTTTGAGTTTTAAACTTTGGATGTCCAGCTTCGGAAGCGGCATTGAGTAATATATTAACCTTACTGTGTAGTTTACCACAGCCACTCATTCTTAAAATATGTCTTCACCTTTCGAGCAAATTAAAAGAAAGTTAGGAGGAAGATATAAATGGAGACGCATTCTCCATAATGGAGTAGCTGTATATATAATGCGTTAGCGCAATTAGAGAAGTCCAGATATGATTTCATGCACTACTGCTACTACTACCTTGCATTGGCTTAGTACGCATCTGATTGGTTAATGAGCCTTTAATGATAGCGGTAGTGGAAGTCAAATCTGAATCTCTCTATTGTCAGAGCAAGCACCTTTCACCTCTTAGTTCGTGGGTTCGATTTCCGATGCGGACTCATGACACTTAATATGTGAAAAGAGTCAGTCAGCAATCTACCGAAAGTCGTGAGTTATTCTCCGGGTACTCCGGTCTCCTCCCCCCCCCCCAGCGAATGTTGACAGGGTGGGTTTGGATAACCCCTAAACTAGCTGTGCTCCGTGATTGGCTACCAGTCATAAGGCGGCAGGCAGAGGCACCCTTAGAGAACCTCAGTACTTCGCAATTCTTCTTCGCAACTCTCAACTGGAAGACAGTAAGGATTGTTAGCCCGTCCCCCCCCCCCTTCTTACTTACTAAATAAAACATGCTGCTGCTCCTATTTTAGTATTAGTATTTACTGTCTTATATTAATGTAGCTTAAAAAGGCATAAATATCGCGGCTACAACTATAGTTCTAATTTTAGATCTCTTTTCTTTTTGCCTTGCAGGTTCTTCGCAGCTTTGATTCAGCCATCAGCAGTAGAGCTACTGAAAATCTCCGTCAAGCTGGAGTAAACATTATGACAACAAGCAGAGTAAGTGGATGTCGAGCTTCAAACTATATTCAAAATTTGTGAGAACATGCAGTGTTGATATGCTAGCGCTATCCTCATCCTTCGTAACCATTTTTTAATTGAACAAACAACATTTTTGATTAAAAGAAGACGCTAGTTTTATTAAGTTTTACTGTAAGTCACGTACCGATGGTATGAAAATTGACAATTTGGCATGCTTAGCAGCACTGTAATGTTTATGCATAAGGGATATGTGGCGTTGCTATCAGGCAGATCCCTCAATCGAAGTCATATTTGGAGCTGTGTCATATTATTGTCATATTTGACATGCGACTTCGGTGGCGGAATAGTCATAGCAATGCCTTTTGTCTCTGAGATCATGGGTCCGATTCTCACTGCAGACTCATGACACTTATGTTAAAGAATCAGTCAACGCTCTACCTAACGTCGCGGGTCCGTGTACTCCGGTTTCTCCCACAGAGAATGTTGACAGGGGAATTAACCCCTAACTGACCCTTTCGTGCACTGTGATCAGACATGAGTTATGAGGTCGCTGCCCGAGGCACCCTAGAAAACTTTCGACTCGATCAGGTTGAGCTCCGCCCTTGGCATTCCTGTGCAGCTCTCAACTGCAAGCAATTAGGTTGATTAGCACACCAATGGCACACCCCCCGCGTACTTAAATGACATACTGTATACAATTCTTCTTGTTATATTATAGGGTATATCAGTGAATGACACCATCCTTACATATATGCTACGGCTTTGTGCTTCAGATTATCACTGATATTTTATATCTGTATTTATTTAGATTTCCTCAGTAAGTAAAGATAGTTCAACAGGATTGTTGTCAGTTGCTGTGGAACAAATAGGTGGAGACAAAGTTGAAAATATTGCTGATGTTGACAAAGTGTTATTGGCAATAGGAAGATCCCCAAATACTGAAGAATTGAATTTACCTGCCGTGGTAAGTACACGAGGAGCTTGCTATAAAGTATCTTTGGCACTTTTTCTATTACAATGCGAGAATGAGGTTGCAACCTGGCGGGCAAATATGGATACAGAACCATGCATATTTAAAAAGCAGTCACAGAGAAGTGTGAGCATGGTGCCCATTCTACTCGTAAGGGATGAAAAATAAAAATCAGAGATGGATTTAAAGAGGGTGCAAGGGGGTGCCGATTTAATTACGACGTTGACAAATCCATTTTTTCAATTTGGAAAGGAAATATTCTGCCCCCATTACCACAATAATTCCCCTCAACCCTTCCAGGGGCAATGTCTCACCTATTCTACAGAACACTGCTGTGGGTGGCTCGAAGTGATTATAAACTTTGTCAACGATCGCACCCTGAACCATGATCATGGGTCCATGACACTAAAATTATAATACATGTTTGGAGGGTTTAATTCATTCACTATTTCCATTCTAGCATCTTTGTTTTGCTCATTCCGGATTTTTGCCGCTCTATAACTAAAACTCGTAGTAGCATTAGTTTTAAGTTTAGAAAGCATCAACGTTATACCATTATCGCATAAGTCATAACATCTGTTTTCTTGGAATTTAAGCAGTTTATTTAAATTTCTTGGGCAACGCTTTTCAAGAGCTTTTTTTTCACATAGGCTCTAGTTTGAAAAATTCTGCGCTCAGGATTGCCAACCCAATCTATAAAGAATGTCTTTGGAACGTATGTCGTATGACTCACCAGCTATAACTACTCTTGATGTCCGATTCTGAAATATTTATACCTTTATCTTTAAACGTTTCCTATAGGGTGTTAATACGGACAATCGTGGCTTTATTCAAGCGGACGAGGTAGGTTGTTTTTAACATTCAAGCTTTCCGGCAGATTAGTTGCAGGGTGACCGGAACACACAATCACAGAGTAAGTACATACACAACAGTCTGCAGGAAAAGCGTAAGGTAGTTTTTACTGCGCATATCTGGCGGCTATGTTCTTAGCAAGTGCCCTAAAGAGAGACATTCACCCCCTGGAACATTAACTTTTAATATGTTTTCAGGGGGGTGACGGCCTCTCTTTAGGGCACTTGCTAGGAACATGGCGGACTGAAAAAATCCGTTACGCTAAACTAACGTGAAGTGAGACCTCTGTATGTGTACTTACTCTGTGAAACTCTGTGATACAATTCTTGACTTGGTGTGATTTTCACTAAATTTAGCACGTTATTGTGCGTTAGTTTTTGAGCTTTAAATATATATTTACTTGTTTCATGTCAATAAAGATCAAGTGCTTTCAAATGACACTTTTGTATCATTGCGATCAAAAACGGCCAAATACGATCCAATTTAAAATGTCAGGCCGCTATCTCGGAAACATTCAGCATCGCGAGTTTTCTGTAAACTTCCAATTTCGTAAACTAGGTTTTAACGCATGAACTTTCGCAATTTTAACGCATGAAAATTTCAACATCCTATTGGAAATTAGACATTAATTAGGGATACACCGGATATCATATCCGGCCGAATCTTGATCTCCGATATTCGGCTGGATATTACAAGTATCCGGCCGGATACCGGATATTGTTTATAAAAGGTTCAGGCCTTATTTTCAGGTTAAAAAAGTGTGGTTAAAATGTGGTTAAAAAAGTAGGGGTGTTGATAATAATTTAACTTGAAATCATCACGGAGATGCTGGCAGTATTGTCATGCTCGTTTGCGAATGCGAAGAAGTGGATTTTCCTGTCAAAATATTACAAACACCATCACTTTATAACCAACTAAAATAATTATTTTACCTTAATTAAGGCCCGTTTACACTTTACCGACTTCTGGTGCGATTTTCCTCTTCTGATGGATGTGAAGGAGTAAAGAAGTTATGAATGCTAGCTTTGAGTATATTTACCAGCCCTCATCTAAACATTCCTAACTCATCCACTCGTTCACATATATCAGGAGAAGAAAATCGCATCTAAAATCGGAGCAAAATTACAGTGGTGTAGTGGCGGGGAGGGGGGGGGGG